AAACTACTATGTTAAGTGAAAGAAACTAGACACAAAAGCCACATATGTTTGTATTTATGTAAAATATATAGAATTGGCAATTCATAGAGATAAAAAGCAGATTAGTGGTTTCCAGGGACTGGGTGAAGAGGTAAATGAGGAGTAACTTTAATGAATATAGAGTTTCTTTTTGCCATAACAAAAAGTTCTGCAACTAGATATTGGTGATAGCTGTACAACACTGTGCATGTATTTAGTACCACTGAATTGTATACTTTAAAATGTTTAAAATTAGTAAATTTTATATTGCATATATATTGCACAATAAGAAAGCATTATCTCATTGTTTCCTATTTCACAATTCAGGTACAGATCTCACTGGACTGAAAGCAATGTGTTGGCAGAGCTGCCATCCTTTCTGGGGAGCTGTAGGAGATAATCACTTTCTTTCCCTCTCCAGCTTATAGAGGCATCCAGCATTTCTTAGTTTATGCCTGCAAGCATCATAAAAGTCTGTAACATAGGATTATTTTAACCCTTCTTTTGGTGTCACATGTTTTCCTCTGGATTTTCTATTTTGACTCTCCCTCCACACTTATACACCCTTGTGATTACATGTAGGACACACTTATATAATTCAGGATAATCTCCCTACTTTAAGGTCACCCCGTTGGCAACTTTCAGTCAGTCTACAACTTCAATTTCCTTTTGCCATGTATCCTAACAACTTTAGATGGCCATTATTCTGCTTACCACACCCAGAAATTCCACTCCTAGGTATACCCCAGAGAATTTAAAACATATTTCCAGGTAAAAAACTCGCGTGCAAATATTCATAGCAGCGTTATTCATAATCACTAAAATGAAAACAAATTAACTGTCCACCAACTGATTAGTGGATAAGCAAAACATGGTATATTCATACAATATAAATTATTCAGCCACAGAACAGAATGAAGTACTGATGTATGCACAACATTGGCGAATATTGAATATACTATGCCAAGTGAAAGAAGTCAGATGCAAAATATCACATAATATATTATTCTATTTATTTGAAATGTCTAGAATAGGAAATCAATGTACACAGAAATTAGATTAGTTATTTCTGGAGGGAAATTTCTGATGGAAAAGAAAAATAAGGAATAACTGTTAATGGCATGGAGTTTATTTTTAGAAAGATTAAAATGTTCTAGAATTAGATAGGGTTAGTGGTTACACAACTCTGTGAATATGCACAAAACTACTAAATTATATATATGAATGGTAAGTTTATAGCATATGAATTGTATCATTATAAAAATGAATCATCTTAAAAATTATTATATTTGTTTTATGTTGATAACATTTTGGCTATATTCAGTTAAATAAAATATAACATTTAAATTAAAAAGAGCAATTGTATCAGCATCATAGCAGTATGAAATGCTCTTTTTGTGTCTTACTTGCAATCTGAAACTAATTTCATAACTCATTGAATATTTCTCTATCCAGTGCACCAGAATTCCAGAGAGTTCCACATATCCATACATCTAAAGGAAGGTGGACTGGAACACATAGAGGAGGTAGAACAAGGGGAACAGAGGTGATGGCTATGGCTTCAGTTCCCCTGTTGTGGTGACTGAGCCACAGCCCTAAAGAACCTGGTAGGAGCAGGAGAGGTGCCCCAGGCAACTCCAGCCTCCTGGTCGTAGATGTACCCACAGCTGCAGGGAACCAGGCAACAGTAGCAAGAAAGCCTGTGACCTAATCCTTCCAGCTTCAGATTTGCATGTGACTCTGGCTACCCCTTCCACAGTCGTGGCGCACATAAATTCGACTACCTTGGACTCAGCAGAGGTATCCATGACCTCAGTTCCCCACTGAACTTCCCTCTTACCTTACAGCAGTGGAGTCAGTGACCCAGGTGACACTAGATGTGCTGCAAGTACATACCTCCCTAGGCAATGACACCAGTGACAGCAGCATAGCAAGGAACTAATGACCTGGGAGGCATAAAGAGTAATGAAAAGGGCACCAAACAACAACTCTGGCAGAGGCAGTGGAAGGTGAAATGTGCCAATCCTCAAAAATACCCGGAGGCAGCTCAGGTAAAGAAATTAAAAACTTGTGCTACATTGCCATCTACTGAAAAATAAAAAGAAAGGCCTGTAATTGCTAATCTTGAATTGCTAGAATCAAGTAAAACATTTTTACCTACAGAAGAAAAGTGTTTGTTACTTCAAAGATATCAACAGAGAAAAAACTCATCAAGGACCACAAAAAACCATGGTAACATGATATCATGAAAAGAAAATGACAATTCTTCATAAACCAAATATACAGTCACAGAATATTGCAATCTAACTGATACAGAGTGCAAAATAGGTGTCACGAAGAAATTCAAGGAGATACAAGGAAATGCAGAAACACAGTTCAAGAAGCTCAGAAATAAAATTTGTGACCAAAAGGAATATTTTACCAAAGAGATTGGAACTCCAAAAAAGAACCAAACATAAATTCTTCTGGAGCTGAAGAACTCAATAGATGAGACAAAACATGCATTAGAAAGCATTGGAAATAGAACAGATCATAAGGAAGCAATTGTAAGCTTGTAGATAAAAATCTAGAAAAGATACAGTAGAACAGGGAAGAGAAGAAAGATCTAAAAAATATTAATAAGAATTATCTCACTACATTAGGAAGGGTAATATAAGGATAATGAATTTCCCAGAAAGAGAAGGGAGCAAAAAGAGAGGAGAGAGTTTGTTTTGAGAAATAACAGCTGAGAACTACTGAAACTTGGGGAAGAAACTGAATATGCAAGTTAATGAAGCTAAGGAGAATGCTGGGTTATATCAATACAAAAAGACTTTCTTCAAGAAACACTATATTAAAATTATCCAAAGTCAATGACAAAGACATAATTTTTTTTCTATTTTATTATTTTTTGCTTTTTAATTTTTACAATGTTGTTTTGATTTCTGCCATACAACAACGTGAAATAGTCATGCTTATACATATACATCCTCCATCTTGAGCTTTCCTGCTTTCTCCCCATCCCATCCCTCTAAGTCATCACAGAGCACCAGACTGGGCTCCCTGTGTTAAACAGCAATTTCTCCCCAACTATCCACTTTACACATGATAGTGTATGCTACTTTCTCCATTCATTCCACTCACTCTCTCCTCTACTGTATCCACAAGTCCATTCTCTACATCCATATCTCCATCATTTCCCTGCAAATAGATTCATTAATCCTATTTTTCTAGATTTCATATATATATATATATATATGTACATATATGTGTGTATATATATATATATATACACACACATTGCTATACTATATTTGTTTTTCTTGTTCTGACTTACTTCACTCTGTATAACACATTCTAGGCTCATCCACCTCACTAGAACTGACTCAAGTTAATTCTTTTTTATGGCTGAGTAATATTCCATTGTATATTTGTGGAAATGTGACCTGATACAGCTATTATGGAGAACAGTATGGAGATTCCTTTAAAAAAACTAGGAATAAATCTACCATATGAGCTGGCAACACCACCACTGGACATATACCCTGAGAAAGCCATAACTGAAAAAGACACATGTACCTCAATGTTCATTGCAGCACTATTTACAATAGCCAGGACATGGAAGCAACCTAGATGTCCAACAACAGATGAATGGACAAAGACATAATTTTAAAGACGGGGGGAAAAGGCTGGTAACCTACAAAAGAACCCAATTAAACTCTTAGCTGACTTCTCAGCAGAAACTGTACAGTCCAGGAGGATGTGGAATGATATTCTCAAAATGAAGTGAAGTCGCTCAGTCGTGTCCAACTCTTTGCGACCCCATGGACTGTAGCTTACAAGGCTCCACTGTCCATGGAACTTTCCAGGCAAGAGTACTGGAGTGGGTTGCCATTTCCTTCTCCAGGGTTTCTTCCCGACCCAGGGATCGGACCTGGGTCTCCCACATTGCAGGCAGACACTTTACCGTCTGAGCCACCAGGAAAGCCTAAAATACTGAAAGGTAAAAATCTTTCACCCTAGAATACTCTATTTAGCAAAGTTGTCCTTCAAACGTAAAGGAGAAATAAATGTTTTCATAGATAAACAAAAGCTGAAAGAATTTTGTTTTCTGTCAAACATCAACATGAATCAGCCATAGGTGTACGTATGTCACCCCTTTGAACCTCCCTCCTATCTCCCTCCCCATTCCACCAAACAAAATTCTGTAAATAAAAAAAAATCTGTAAATCAATTATCCTCCAATTTAAAAAATAAATAAAATTTTAAAAGAAGCTTATAGAGTTTGTCACCACTAGACTTGCCTTACAAGAAATGTTGAGAGTTGGTCCAAAGGTCATGGAGGAATAGGACGGGGAGACCACATTCTCCCCCACAAATACATGGAAAGATCATCTGCATGTGGAGCAACTTCCACAAAACAAATTCTGAATGCTGGCGGAGGACTCCAGATACCGAGAAAGACAAACAAATCTCTTTGAAATGAAGTAAGACAAAGAATAAAGATGTAAAGAGAGACAAAGGATTTAGAGAAGGACCCATCCTGGGAAGGGAGTTTCCATACAGTAGCAAACCCTTTCACAGGTGGAGTCAGTGGGGAATTTGGGGGCAGCATAACAAAAAACAAAACAAACAAAAATATCACCGCAGAATTCGTGCCAAATGGCAATTACCAGTGGAGAAGCAGCTCATATGCTCGTGTCTGCCCACAGTGAGTGGGCGCTGGGTGCAGAGGCATGGGCTGCATCATTGGTCCTTAGAGTAAGGACTGATATTGAATGCCCTGAGGACACACTGAGGGGACTAACATTACACAGCAACCCAAACCATGGGAAGGCCAGAAAGACAAAGAAAAACAAGGGGCTTTTCCCCCAGGAAGGCTCTGACACCACAGTGTGTCCCCTGGCACGCTCACAAAACAAAGGATTGTGCCCTAGCAAATATCAAAGGAGAGCATGCTGGCTGCTATTTACAGCCCTCTCTGGATGCAGAGAGGCAGGTGCTCAAAAGAGGGGGAAGGTAAGGGGCTGCTGCAATATCAACCCAGAGACCACATCTCTTGGCAAGCTGTGAGCAGGGTGCCAGTTGCTAACCATGTCTTCCTGGGATCCTGAGTGGTTCATATCTGCCAGAAGTGTCACAGCCTGAGGCAGCTCCCCTGAGGAGATGCATGGCCCACATGGGACTGACTGTGTGCTTGTGGCACACCTGGGAGCTTGAGTGGCTTGGACATGGGAAGTGCATAAGATGCACAGCTCACCTGGGACTGTGCCCTTGAGGAGAGAGTTTGAGTAGCTTGAGCCTGGGAAGTACATGAGACGCACAGCCCACCTGGGGCTGGGCCCTCGTGGAGTACCCGGGAGCTTGAGTGACTTCAACATAGAAGGTTCACCCCACCTAGGGCTGTGGCATCCAAGTGTGGTCCATCCACTATGAGTGCTCCCCACACATGCCAGTGGTGTTTGTTTGTAGTGTCCCTCCTTCTGCATAGCACAACTCAGCAAGTAAGCCTGCATAAAGGGACACTTTCATCCTCTCATGTCAGGGTGGAGATTAGACACTGAAGACACTGGCAAGCAGAAGAGGCCGGCCTAAGCAAAGAAAAGAAGGGGGAACTGCCCCAGAAGTGGCAGGTGCAACAGAATAAAATCCTGCAGTTAAGCTGAGACTGTGCATTTGAGGGTCAACTATAGACTGAAACAAGTACAAGCCAGATTATCCCAGTACATGGGATTATCTGACACTGAACTAACTGCAGTTATATATATATATAGTATATATATATATAGTATATATATATATTAGTTTTTGTGTTCAATTTTGTTTTGCTTTTTCTGTATGGTACTTTTGACAATCTAATCTCTATTCTAGGTTTTAATTTTTGTCTTTGATATTTGTTATTAATTTTGTACCTTTAAGATTATAATTTTTAGTATCTATTCTCACATAGGGATTTGATTACTGGCTCAGTCACTCACTTCCCCTTTGATACTCCCTGTTATCCTCCTGATCACCTCTATCTCCCTCCTCCCACTTATATTTTCTATATAACTCTGTAAATCTCTTTGGGTATTTCTGACTGTGGAGAGTTGTTTCACCATTAACCTAGAGTTTTTGCCTTCAGTGCTGTGTGGACGGAAAAGTCTTGAGGTTAATGTCAGAGGGAGACCTAAATCTAGAGGTAGGGGGCTCAACTCCAGAACTTTGGACCATCAAAGAACCCCAGACCCCAGGGAACATTAATAGATGAGAGCCCATACATTGAGACCAAGTTCCACCCAAAAGTCAGCAGGCTCCAGTAAAAGACACCCCACACTAATCCTCCAGAAAAACAGGAACACAAACCTGAATATTAAAAGACAAACTGCCCAAAGCCATACCAAACCCAAGACTGCTCAAGACTCACTACTGAATACTGCATTGACCTCCAGAGAGATGAGATCCAGCTCCATCTACCAGAACACAAGCACAAGTTGCCCTAGCCAGGAAACCTTCACAAGCAACTGGTCCAAACTGCACCCGCAGCAAGCATACTCCACTATTAAGAGGAAATACAACCCTCCAACCTGCACAAAGGAAACAATGAACACAGTAGACTAAAAAATAATTAAAAGTCAGAGAAATAGCAAGCAGGTGAAGTATCATGATGAAAAACAACCAAACAAAACAAAAGAGGAGGTGATAAGGGAGTCTACCCAAAAAAGAATTCAGAATAATGATATTAAAGATGATCCAAAATCTTTGGAAAACAAGATGGAGTTACGGGAAAATAGACTAGAGACACAGATTGAGAAGAAGCAAGAAATGTTTAACAAGGACCTAGAAGAAATAAACAATGGTCAATCAGTAATGAACAATGCAATAAAGGAAATTAAAAATACTTTAGAGGGAACCAGCAGTAGAGTAACTGAGGCAGAAGAAAGCATAAGTGTGTTGTAAGATAGCATGGTGAAAATAAGTGAGGCAGAGTGGGGGAAAAAAAAAAAGAAATGAGGACAGTCTCAGAGACCTGGGACAATGTTAAATGCCCCAATATTCGAATCATAGGTGTCCCAGAAGAAGAAGACAAAAGGAAAAGGCATGAAAATATTTGAGGAGATAATAGTTGAAAACTTTCCTAAAATGGGGAAAGAAATAGCCACTGGAGTCCTAGAAGCCCAGAGAGTCCCATACAGGATAAACCCAAAGAGAACCATGGCAAGACACATACTAATCAATGAAGGAAAATTAAACACAAAGAGCAAATATTAAAAGCTGCAAGAGAAAAGCAACAAATAACATACAAGGGGATCCTCATATGGATAACAGCTGATCTTTCATAGAAACTCTGCAGGCCAGAAGGGAATGGCAGGATATACTTAAAGTGATGAAAGGGAAAAACCTACAACCCAGATTACTGTACCCAGCAAGGATCTCATTCAAATATGAAAGAGAAATCAGAAGCTTTACAGACAAGCAAAAGCTGAGAGAATTCAGCACCACCAAACCAGCTCTTCAACAAATGCTAAAGGATCTTCTCTAGACAGGAAACACAGAAAAGATTTATAAAAATGAATCCAAAACAGTAAAGTAAATAGTAATGGGATCATACTTATCAATAACTATCTTAAATGTAAATAGGCTAAATGCTCCAACCAAAAGACAAAGGCTGCCTGAATGGATACAAAAACAAGATTCCTATATACACTGTCTATAGGAGACCCACCTCAAACCTAAGGACATATACAGACTGAAAGTGAAGGGTTGGAAAAGATATTTCATGCAAATGGAGGCCAAAAGAAAGTGAGATGGCAGTACTTATATAAGGTAAAATAGTCTTTAAAATAAAGCTCTGTTAAGAGACTAAGAAGGACAATACATAAAGCTCAAGAGATCAGTCCAAGAAGAAGGTACAACAATTATAAATACATATGCACCTAACACAGGAGCACCACAATATATAAAGGCAAATGCTAACTACTATTAAAGGGGAAATTGACAGTAACACAATAATAGTGGGGGACTTTAATACCCTACTCACACCAATGGACAGATTATCCAGACAGAAAATTAAGATGGAAAAACAAGCTTTAAATAATACATTGTACCAGAAAGACCTAATTGATATCTATAGGGCATTCCACCCCAAAACAATGGATTTCACCTTTTTTTCAAGTGCGCATGGAATATTCTCCAGGATAGATCACATCCTGGGCCACAAACCTAGCCTTGGTAAATTTTTTAAAATTGAAATTGTTTCAAGCATCTTTTCTGATCACAATGCTATAAGATTAGATATCAACCACATTTTTAAAAAAACTATAAAAAACACAAACATATGGAGGCTAAACAACATGCTTCTGAATAACCAAAAGAAAACTGAAGAAATAAAAAATTCAAAATATGCATGAAACAATGATAATGAAAACACGGCTACCCAAAACATATGGAATTCAGTAAAAGCAATGCTAAGAGGGAAATTCATAGCAATACAAGTCTACCTCAAGAAACAAGAGAAATGTCAAGTAAACAACCTAAGCTTACACTTAAAACAAGTAGGGAAGACAAAAAAGCATTCAGTGTTAGTAGAAGCAAAGAAATCATAAAAATCAGAGCAGAAAAAAATGAAAAGGAAATGAAGAGACTATTGCAAAGATCAACAAAACTAAAAGCTGATTCTTTGAGAAGATAAACAAAATAGACACACCATTAGCCAAACTCATCAAGAAAAAAGGGAGAAGACTACAATCAATAAAATTAGAAGTGAAAATGGAGAAGTTACAACATACATCCCAGAAATACAAAAGACTACTGTGAGCAACTATATGCTAATAAAATGGACAACTTGAAAGAAATTCTTAGAAGAGTATAACCTTCTAAGAGAGTCAATTCCTAGGCAGGTTGATAAGAAGCCTTGGGTCTCCAAGGAGGAGAAAGGGGTCTGGAATTCTCAAGGAGGAGGAAAGGACAAACTTTTTAATTTAAATGTTATATTTTATTTAACTGAATATTGCCAAATGTTATCATCTCAATGTAAAATAAATATAATACTTTTTTAAATGATTCATTTTTATAAAGATACAATTCGTATGCTATAAACTTACCATTTTCGTATATATTATTTAGTAGTTTTGAGCATATTCACAGAGTTGTGTAATCACCAACCCTATCTAATTCTAGAACATATTAATCTGTTATCTTAAAATGTATATTATTGGAGTGAGTCTGGTAAGATCTTTCTATTGTTAGCTCTAATCCTGTCATCTTAAAATGTAAACTGTGGGAGTGGGTCTAGTAAGATCTTTACAACCTTGAGACATTCTTTTGATTTATTGCAATAGCCAATTTAAAAATTGTATAGCTACCTTGCTACAACTAGCAAGTGGGGCATTCTCCATCCCCCTTCTAATGTCTATGTCAGAAGCTTCCTCTGTCCCTTTTTATACTTTAATAAGACTGTGCTACACAAAAGCTCTTGAAGGATCAAGCCTGGCCCCTGGTTCCAAAGGTAAATCTTCTTCTTCAGAGATCACGAATCTGACACTATTCACTGTAAGCTATCGCTTCCAAAACTGAACCAGGAATATACACCATGTTAAGACATTGAAGGATAAAAACCATATGATTATCTCAATAGATGCAGAGAAAGCCTTTAACAAAATTCAACATCCATTTATGATAAAAACTCTCCAGAAAGGAAGCATAGAAGGAACATAGCTCAACATAATAAAAGTCATATACAACAAATGCACAGCAACATCTTCAATGGCGAAAAACTAAAGGCATTTCCTCTAAGATCAAGAACAAGATAAGGGTGCCCACTCTCTCCACTACTATTCAACATAGTTTTGGAAGTCCAAGCCACAGAAACTAGAGAAGAAAAAAAAAAGCAATCCAGATTGGAAAAGAAGAAGTAAAACTCTCACTGTTTGCAGATGACATGATTCTCTACATAGAAAACCCTAAATTGCCATCAGAAAACTACTAGAGCTAATCAATGAATATAGTAAAGTTGCGGCATATAAAATTAATACACAGAAATACCTTCCATTCTTATTCACTAACAATGAAAAATCAGAAAGAGAAATTAAGGAAACAATCCCGTTCACCATTGCAATGAAAAGAATAAAATGTTTAGGAACAAATTTAGCTAAAGAAACAAAAGACCTATATACATAAAACTGAAAAACACCCATGAAAGAAATCAAAGAAAACACAAATAGGTGGAGAAATATACCATGTTTGTGGATTGGAAGAATCAATACAGTGAAAATGAGCATACTACCCAAAGCAATCTATAGACTGAATGCAATCCCTATCAAACTACCAATGGTATTCTTCACCAAACTAGAACAAATAATTTCATAATTTGTATGGAAACACAAAAGACCCCAAATAGCCAAAGCAATCATAAGAAAGAAAAATGGAACTGGGGGAATCAGCCTGCCTGACTTCAGACTATACTATAAATCTACAGTCATCAACATAGAATGATACTGGCACAAAGAAATATAGATCGATGGAACAAAATAGAAAG